ACACGTCTCACTGTGCAACCTGCCTCTCCTCCTCGCCCTCCCTTCCTCGTACATCTTCCCCCCTCACCAGCTACATCGAGCCTCTGGAGGACGCATCGTGGTCGGACTCAAAAGTGGTGTTGGACAACGAGATTGTCGGCACAGCCATCCCCTCCCTCCGTCACCCTCACTTTCCCACCCTCCCATCCTCTCTCACCCTCACCACCAGCTACATCGAACCTCTGGAAGATGCGTCGGGCTCGGACTCAAAAGTGGTGTTTGACAACGAGATCGTCGGCACGGCACCATCATGTATCAAGGCGTCTCAAAAAGCTAATCTGATTTCATCCATCCACTTTCTCCTGTTCCCCCTTTTTCCTCACACATCTCTCCCACCAGCTACATCGAACCTCTGGAAGACGCATCGGGGTCGGACTCAAAAGTGGTGTTTGACAACGAGATCGTCGGCACGGCAATTCCGTCCAACTTCTTTGCCGGCATTGAGAAGGGCTTCTTAGAAGCTGCCAACAGGTGGGTAGCAACCAACAGCAACAGGTGAGTGGGTATTAAGTGCCACAGCACTGGCAGCACTGGCATTCCCTCCAACTTCTTCGCTGGCATTGAGCAGGGCTTCCTGGAGGCGGCCAACAGGTGGGTGGGCGTTGATCAGTCATAGCCTGATCAGTGGGAGCAGTTACGGGGAGTGGTCGCAGACTCGCGGGCGGATAGCACAGCACTGGCAGCACGGCCATTCCCTCCAATTTTCTCGCCGGCATTGTGAAGGGGTTCCTGGAAGAAGCGAACAGGTGAGAATGGAAGTGGGTGGAAATAGAGTGGCACAGCACCAGAGGCACGGCCATCCCCTCCAACTGCTTTCCGGGCTTTGAGAACGCTTGCTGGAAGCCGCCAACAGGTGGGTAGCAACCAACAGCAACAGGTGAGTGGATATAATGGTGACATGGCACTGGCAGCACGTGGTGCTTCCCCCACCGGCCCGTGTGCTCTCATCGCTCACTGATAGACTGCTTCCTTCCTGTGTGCTGTCTCTTCCTCTCGCCGTTCCTTCTCTTTCTCACAGTGGAGGGCTCATCGGCCATCCAGCTGTCAACGTCCGCTGTGTGCTAAATGACGGTGCTTCTCATGCCCCCTCGTGACTCTCTGTGAGTCCTCTCATTCACTCTTCCACGTCGTCCTGTCTCTCTGCTCCCCTCCCTCCCTCCCTCCCTCCCTTCTCTTCCCTCCAGTGGCGGCCTCATCGGCCATCCAGTGGTGAACATCCGCTGTGTGCTCAACGACGGTGCTTCCCACGCGGTTGACAGCAGTGATCTGGCATTCAAGCTCGCAGCTCTCTACGCCTTCAGACAGGTGCATGCAGCTATGTACATATACCTATTGTAGATTCGTATATCTATTTATATATGCCCTCTCCTCCTTCCCCCCCCAAACCGCCACTGTGTTCCTATCCTACCTACCCTTACCCCTTGCCTCTCATGCCTTACACCTGCCTTCGCAACCCCATACCCCCCATGCAGTGCTATGAAATCACCGGTGGAGTCCTGATCCTTTTTCACACCTCCGCACCACTCCCAACCACTACGTCTCCTCTACTCCTCAACCCCTCCCTACCCCTCCCGTGCAGTGCTATGAGAAGGCGCGGCCTGTGATTCTCGAGCCTGTGATGGCAGTGGAGGGAGGTGACAGCACTAGTGGAGTTCTGATCCCTCTCTCACACATCCCCACCACCCCCAACAACCCTCAACCGCCCTCAACCACCACTAACCACCTTCAACCTACGTCTCCTCAACTTCCGTGCAGTGCTATGAGAAGGCCCGGCCAGTCATTCTCAAGCCCGTGATGGCAGTGGAGGTGAAAGCACCGATGGAGTTCTGATCCCCTCTCCCACATCTCCCCACCACCCTCAACCACTCCTGACTACCCCCAACCTACTCCTCCTCATTCCGTACCCCCCCGTAGCTCGTAACCCCCTTTCAGTGCTATGAGAAGGCCCGGCCAGTCGTTCTGGAGCCGGTGATGGCAGTGGAGGGAGGTGAAGGTTCCGATGGAGTTCCCATTTCCTATCTCTCTCGCACCTCCCACCTCCCCACACCTCCCACCTCCCACCTCCCCATTGCAGTGCTATGAGAAGGCACGGCCTGTGATTTTAGAGCCCGTGATGGCAGTGGAGGTGAAGGCTCCAGTGGAGTTTCAAGGAACGATCATTGGGAACATCAACAGGTGAGAACTGAGGAGAAAGGTTTGGGAATTTTGTAAGAATGTCTCACATACAGAGTTGAGCATACATTTTTGGTTGTGAACAGTGAAGCAGAGTGGCTCCACCTGATGTTGTCATGTTGCATGATTGAGAAGCTTCTTTTCTTTCTTCCTTCCTTTCTTTCTTACACACACAAAAAAAAAACAACAACAACAAAAAAAAAAACTTTTGTTCTTTCTATTCTGGTGTCCCTCTGCATTTATGTGTGTGTGTTTGATTGCCAACTGCCTCTGTGTGTCTGTGCATGTGCATGTGTGTCTGTGCATGTGCATGTGTATGTGTGTATGCATGAGCAATCATGATCAGGCGCAAGGGCATAATAGTGGGCAGTGAGCAGGATGGGGACGACATAACCATCAACGCTCAGGTGTGTTCTGATAAACACCAATTTGGGTTACCATCAACGCTCAGGTGGGATACTATCAAGGCCCAGATTTGACCTTTGAGTCGAACCAAAAATGTGTTTATGCATGCGCAACCATAATCAGGCGCAAGGGCATTATTGCGGGCACTGAGCAGGATGGGAATGATGTCACCTTCAACGCTCGGGTTTGTTACCAACGCTTCCTTAACTCTCCCTTTTATCCTCTCCCATTCTTTTCTACCGTGCCCCTCTGTTTCTTCCCCCCTTTTCCCCTTCTCTCCTAACTGCAGGTCCCACTGAACAATATGTTTGGCTACTCCACTGACCTTCGCTCCATGACACAGGTGCGCGCATGGGATGGGTGGAATAGCATTGGGATGGGTGAGAGGAATATATGATGGTATATGGTGGTGATGGTGGTGGTGGTGGTGGAAGGAACATCGGTGCAACACAATATGGTATGGGCTGAATAGAATCATGGCATTAGGTCCGTGAAGTGACATGGGATTTGCAAAATGGCATGAGAGTGGTAATGCCATCATGAGATATTAGTATATGACATGGCACAGCGATGGTGATGCGCTGCAGCAGTAATGAATCGATGTGATATGTTTCCATAAAGCTTAAAAAAATGACACATGGGTTCTCTCCTTGGGGGTTATGGAGATTTCGTTGGGGACCCTCGTCTTGTGCTTTGACGGTTTATGCCTGTGGCTTACCTGAATTTGTGCATGCTATGTGCAACAGGGTAAAGGGGAGTTCACTATGGAGTACTGGCAGCACAGTGCCGTGCCTCAGGATGTGCAGCAGCAGCTGGTGTCCGAACACAAGAGGGGAGGGCACTAGTATTTGCTGTCCATATATGGTGTATTGAGGAACTCACTATAAAGCATTGGCAGCATATTACCATACTTCGCATGCACGGTACAGCTACGGCTGGTGTAGGAGCAGAAAAGAGGAGGGTTGTGCTGCAACTACAGCAATCAAGCATTGGCCCCGCTGAATTAATCAGGGTTAAAAAATCACTCGAATCTGAAAAATCAGGGGACAGGAGCTCAAATCAAAGGTCTGATTCGTCAGATTAACGTCAGATTAATCAAACTATTCAGTCGAGAGTGTCAGCCCTGGGCGGATGGAAGGAGTGAGGCAGTGAAACACTTCATCGCTACGTGGTCAGGTAGCGTAATGATCCAGAAAAAAACTTTTTTGTTACTAAATAAAGAGACTAAACTATGTATTTTGGAATGCATTTTATTTTGAAGATCGTATCGCTCCATAACCTTACAGGGTGGTTCTCAAAACGGTGAGAAGCGATACAGCTCGGTCTAGCGACATCACGAAACCCGCAATCCCCAAGATAAGGCAATCCACTCACCATAACGACCCCCGCCGCACCACCCGCCGCTCAACCCGCCGCTCAACCCGCCGCTCCACTCGCGTAGCTCGTCACCTCACCGGGCCCTCCACGCTCCACGCGCCCCGCTTTCCACCGCAATCGAGACGCTTATTGCGCATTCCTGTCCCTAATCGTCGCCATCGTTTCGCTGAGTACTCACCGTGCCGGAGGGAAAAACAGACGTATCTTTTAGTCGACTCGGAAACAGTTTCGTTTTTTTTTTTTTTTTTTTTTTTTTTTTTTTTTGCATCGACTCGAAATAGTTTCGTTCGGTGCTATCCACCGAGGCGGAGGGGAAGAACAGCGTGGGGGCGAGGAAAGGCGACGCGAGGCGAGGAGAGGAGAGGAGAGGAGAGGAGGGATAGCAGGGAACTGGGAGAAGAGAGAGGGAGCCTGCCGCTCAGTTAATAGGCGCATGCACAGCTCTGCTCGTTTCGCGTGCTGCTAGGCTCATTCACAGCTCTGCTCGTCGTTTTTTTTTCTGCACGTTTCTGCATGCTGCTGAATCGCAATCGCGGCAATCGCGGAAATCGCGGAATTCGCGGAAGTCGCGGCAATCGCGGAAATCGCGGAAATCGCAGAAGGTCGGGATGATTCGCGCGCTGCGCATGGTGCGCGACGCGTGGGTGTTCTTCACGGGGAAGGGAGATACGGAGCTGGCGCGACAGACGAAGAGATTGCAATTCGAAGCCGCTAAGGTGAGGTGAGGCTTCTCAAAGCAGTACGAGAGGCACCTGGTCCTGTAAAAAGCGGTGAGGATTGGTCGTGTGGGATGCACGCGTGGGTGCTCCTCACGGGGAAGGGGGATTCAGAGCTGGCGCGACAGACAAAGAGATTGCAATTCGAAGCCGCTAAGGCGAGACGCACACAGTAGAGGCATCTGGTCCAGTACGAAGCGGTGAGGGCCGGTCGTGTGGGATGCACGCGTGGGTGTATTTCACGAAAAAGGGGGAGTCGGAGCCGCTAGGGCGAGCGAGACACGCACTCTTATGCGCACGCGCACGAGAGGCGACTGGTTCAGCAGTGGTACTGAGAGCAGCATCTGCACAGCACACGAGTGCAAAGTGAAGCCCTCAAGGTGAGACTTGTCAAAAGAGGTGACTTTTGAGTCGACTCAAAAGTCACGAGAGGCGTCTGGTTCAGCAGTGGTACTGAGAGCGGCATCCGCACAGCACACGAGTGCGTGCAAATTGAAGCCCCTAAGGTGAGACTTGTCAAAAGCAGCGTGCTGGATCGCAAGGGGCATGAGGAATCACATGAGGAATCACATGAGGAATCATGTGGTTCCGCCGGACTTGAAGAAGGCCGGCAGGTCTCTGAGTGGCTGCAGTGAGAAGCGACGTGGCGTGTCGGAGAGAATTAGTTTCGGGCAAAATAAGTCTTGGGCGGACTTGGTGTCGGGCAAAATAGGTGTCAGGCAGAATAGGTGTCGGACAGAATAGGTGTCGGGTAGAATAGGTGTCGGACAGAATAGGTGTCGGGTAGAATAGGTGTCGGACAGAATAGGTGTCAGACAGAATAGGTGTCGGACAGAATAGGTGTCGGACAGAATAGGTGTCGGACAGAATAGGTGTCGGACAGAATAGGTGTCGGGCAGAATAGGTGTCGGGCAGAATAGGTGTCGGGCAGAATAGGTGTCGGACAGAATGTTCGTGAAACTGTGTTTCTCTTGGTTCCCTCCTCCTCTTCTCCCCTCGTCTCCCCTCTTCTCCCCTCGTCTCCCCTCTTATCCCCTTCCAGCAGGTGGTGGAGGAGATGCAGCCGCTCGTTCGCTCTTGCTTCTCCTCCGTGTATGAAGATTTGTTTTGAGACGTCTCAAAAACAAATCTTCTCTTGGTTCCCTCCTCCTCTTCTCCCCTCGTCTCCCCTCTACTCCCCTCTTCTCCCCTCTTCTCCCCTCTTCTCCCCTTGTCTCCCCTCTTCTCCCCTCGTCTCCCCTCTTCTCCCCTTCCAGCAGGTGGTAGAGGAGATGCAGCCGCTCGTTCTCTCTTCCTTCTCCTCCGTCCCTCTTCTCCGATCTTATCCCCACTCTGCTCAGCTGAGGGCGCTGATAGTGGCACAGCAGCAGCAGGAGGAGACGGCATTGGAGCATGTGAGGCGAGTAGTGGGGGAGTGTTTGCTTGCTCTCTCTGTTGGCACCGTCTCTCCTTCTGAGTCGACTCAAAAGCCGTCTCTCCTCCCTCTGTTGCGCGTGCCTGCTCCCCCATTCCCTCCTCAGCTGAGGGCGCTGCGGGTGGCACAGCAACAGGTGGTGGAGGAAACAGCATTGGAGCATGTGAGGCGAGTGGTGGGGGAGATGCAGCAGCTGAAGCAGCAGCTCGATGGCATGGTGAGGGGTGGGAGCTTGGCGAGGGGTGGGGGGATGGTGAGGATGGTGAGGGATGGGAGTATGGTGCATAGTGAAAGGTGGGATGGTGGTATCATAGGACAATCGATGACACTCAGATTGCAGGGTTGTCTGGTAACACGTAACACACCCGTAAGACTTGTAACACTCACACATCGTTTTTGAGGCGCCTCAAAAAGGTTGCCTCATAAGACAACGGTCTCTCTGTAACACACGCGCGCCATGTCACGCCTTGTGTAGTAAGTTGATTTTTTAGTCGACTCAAAAATCGGCCATTTCACGCCTTGCCTCACACACTCGCCTTGCCTCACACACTCGCCTTGCCTCACACACTCGCCTTGCCTCACACTCGCCTTGTTTCACACATGCCGGAAAACTATGCCTCCCACGACCATTACCACGTCGCATGAAATACCACGTGAAAAGAGGGTCTCGAAAACTATGTCTACCTACCACGGCCAATACCACGTCACGTGAAATGCCATGGTAACGAGGTGACTTTTGAGTCGACTCGAAAGTCATCACGTGAAATGCCACGTGAAAAGAGGGTGTTTTTGAGACGTCTCGAAAACTATGTCTACCTACCACAACCATTACCACGTCACGTGAAGTAAGACTGTTTTTGAGATGTCTCACGTCTTATTCCACGTGGTTAAACTATGTCCACCCTCACTGCCCTCTCTGTGGCTGCCCTCTCTTGTCGACCAATGACTGCTGTCCACGTGGCAGGAGGAAGCAGCAAAGGCTCTGGCAGAGAGTGTAGCGGAGCAGGCTAAAGCGAGGATGCAGCAAGAGGAGGAGGAGGATGACCGGCGGCTGCTGCAGACTATGGACCAAACTGCACTCGAACGGCTGCTGGGGTATGGGAGAGAGGAGACGGGAGCGAGTGGGAGGCAGGAAAAGGACGGCGGTGGGAGTGGCAAGTGATTGATGAATTAAGAGGAGGATGAAGGAGGAGGAGGATGGAGGAGGATGACAGGCGGCTGCTGCAGACTATGGACCAAACCGCACTGGAACGGCTGCTGGAGTATGGGAGAGAGGAGAGGGGAGTGGGCGGGAGGCAGGAAAAGGTTGGTGGTGGGAGTGGCAAGTGATTCATGCAAGAGGATGAGGAGGATGGAAGAGGAGGAGGAGGATGACCGGCGGCTGCTGAAGACTATGGACCAAAGTGCTCTGGAACGGCTGCTGGGGTATGGGAGGGAGGAGACGAGAATGAGTGGGAGGCAGGAGAGGGATGGTGGTGGGAGTGGCAAATGATAGGATGCAGCAGCTGGGAGAGGATGCAGCAGGAGGAGGAGGATGACCGGCGGCTGCTGCAGACTATGGACCAAACTGCACTGGAACGGCTGCTGGGGTATGGGAGAGAGGAGACGAGGCAGGAAAAGAGTGGCGGTGGGAATGGCAAGTGATTCATGCAAGAGGATGAGGAGGATGGAAGAGGAGGAGGATGATGACAGGCGGCTGCTGCAGACTATGGACCAAATTGCACTGGAACGGCTGCTGGGGTATGGGAGAGAGGAGACGGGAGCGAGTGGGAGGCAGGAAAAGGACGGTGATGGGAGTGGCAAGTGATCCATGCAGCAGGTGGGGAGAGGATGGGGGAGAAGGAGAATGATAGGCGGCTGGAGGATGGAGGAGAAGGAGCAGGAGGAGGAGGATGACTGGCGGCTGCTGAAGACTATGGATCAAAGTGCATTGGAACGGCTGCTGGGGTATGGGAGGGAGTTGTCGAACGCAGACAGGTGGGCTGCGGAGGCCTTACGTCCATCAACTTGTATGGTGATTTAAAACGACGAGACAAACCCCATGGAATGGATGGATTTCCTGGTTACTGTGAGCTTAGAGCGTTGTCTTAGAGAGCCAGTTTAAACAAAACGTCAACTTAATCCAGCACTTGCGTAAACTAGTTTCGGTTCTTGCGAACCTTCATCAGTACATACAAGCCTGAGAATAAGAATCTGAGATGAATTGACAAGCTAGAGTACTCTACGCTAAAGCTCAGCTAACCAGTGATGGATGAAATGACGAGCGAGTGATGAGGCAATGAGTGAGATGTAATCTCGAGGTAAGCAGACAGCTTCGACCCGATCCTTCGGAACCCAAATTGGAGACTTCAGGAAGGCTGGTAACGTGGGTCAAAATGTCGCGCGCAAAAGTTCAGCTGCGAAGAATTTCGGCTGTAACAGGTCGCATCCTCGATTGTATCAGCCTTCGACGTAAGCGGGAAGGTAATTTCCACGCTAACAGAAATCTACAGGAACCAGATAAAGAGTAGCCACGTAAAGGTAAGTATTGTTAGGCTTCTGAAATGTGGAAATGTCCAACAAACCGGAGCATGCTGTCCTTTATGAATGACGAGATCTAGGAAGTCTACAGAGGTCTTCGAGATTGTGTAGGTGAGCTTGATAGTGGGACGAAGTGAACTGAACGCTGGTAAGAAGTCTTCCAATCCCTCCTTACTCCCTTCCCAGCAGATGAATCCGTCATCGATGTAGCGGAGGTGGAGGAGAGGGACATTGTGACCCATGCGCGCTCAAAGTATTTCGTCCAATCGGCTCATGTAAAGGATGGCGACACACTGCAACTGAGGTTCCCATCGCCGTTCCCTGGATCTGCCGGAAAAGTCTACCATCAAAGTCCACGTAAGAGTTAAACATGACCCACTCCAAAAGTGCTATGATGACATGTGCGTTAGGGAAATGAAGAGGGTCTCGTTCCAGAAAAGAGCGGACTACATCAACACCTTCTCATTGCGGGATTGACGGGTATAATGCTTGGACGTCGTAAGTAGCTAGTAAGAGCTTCTTCGGCAAAGGGGTTTTCTCCAGATGAAGGAGAAGTGAAAGTGAGTCCCTTAGGTATGTAGGTTGTTGGAGCACCAATGGACGGAGTGCAGTGTCTAACCAGCGACTGACGTTCGCGGTGACCCATGAATGAGAAGCTGCAATTGGACGTCCAACCGGAATCTTTTTATGCACCTTCATGATAACGTAAAAAATGGCCGGTTTCCAGCCTGTCGTCGGAGGGTGCTCAAAATAAGACCACTGGTATCTAGGGAGAAGGGGTCCACGGTTAGCACGAATGTCCAGGAGTTTAGCAAAAACAGAAGTCCGTGGATCTTCAAAATCTGCTGTGGACGTAAGTATCTCTGTATACGTGCTCTTGTCCAGAAGGTGGTTAAGGCATTCGCGGATGTAAGCCGTTCGATCCATCAAGGTAATTCCCACATTCTTGTCAGCTTGCTTAATGATGAGGTCGGTGTTAGCAGCGAGACTGTTGATGGCCTTAAAGTACCCCCTAGGGAGGTAAGGCCCTTTACGGACTGCAGGTCGAGATAACAGAAGAGTAAGGTCCTTTCTGGTTTCTTCGAAAACAGCTTCCAGCTTCTCATCTTCAGTGGGTAACCAAGTAGGATTACTGATTCTGAATCGGCTGTCTGTACGTCTAGCTCCTTTGAAAAACTCTTGTAACCTTATAGATCTGAACAAATTGGAAAAATCGTTATTGATTTCTGAAGGAGAAAAAGGTGGAGTATGCGGCAGAACGAACTTGAGTCCTAAACCTAGCACACTACGTTCAGCAGGGGTCAAGGTGTAGGAACTCAGGTTAAACACTCCGTGGTTGGTGATCCGTGTCTTGGCTTGAGACTCGGTTAGTCGTCCGAACCAGCGGAGCGCCAGCTCCGTGCTTGTTAGCTGTGCTGGCCCCTTGCGGGGCCTCCTCCGTTTTTTGGTTTATACCACCTCTTCTTCTTCATCTTCTTCTTCTTCTTCTTCTTCTTCTTCTTCTTCTTCTTCTTCTTCTTCTTCTTCTTCTTCTTCTTCTTCTTCTTCTTCTTCTTCTTCTTCTTCTTCTTCTTCTTCTTCTTCTTCTTCTTCTTCTTCTTCTTCTTCTTCTTCTTCTTCTTCTTCTTCTTCTTCTTCTTCTTCTTCTCTCCCTTGTCCTCCACTGTCGCAGGTGTTTGGGGTTGCTGCTGCTACTGGAAATGCTGCTTCGGCTGTTTCTGTGGCTTCTGCTGATGTCCCTGCTGCTGTTGCTGCTGCTGCTGTTGCTGCTGCTTCCCCTTACCAGACGGATGATTCTGCAGCTCTAATTTCTCAAGACGTTGAAGAACCGAGGAGAGTTTTGAGTCAACAACATCCTTGGCTACTTCACGCATGCTGGGTACTGTCTCCATTTTCTGGAGTACTTCTTGAGCTGCTGCCTGTCAGAATGTTATAATTGTCTAGCCTGCAGTGGGGTACTCTATAGCGAGTACAACCCAATTAGGGTTTCCTATATGTATGCCAACTGCTGCTAGTGCAACCCCCTCTTCTTCATTCCTAATTCTTCACACTGCCTTCACCATCTCTGCTTCATTTTTCAGCCGCTGATTTTCATGAAATTCCATGAATGACTTGGTCTGCTATATCTCAATTGTAGTATTAGCCTCCTGGATAAGCTTGCCTCTGAAGAATACCATGACTTCAATAACCTTATTCCGTCGGGAATCTTCTTCCATAGCCTTAATGCCATTGATATAAGCTGAGATTTGTCCACCAGTCGAGAGATAGCACCATTGGCCTCATTGAAAGCCATAGCCATTAATTGCTCCTTCGCTTCAATGAAAACTTTCTGCTGCTCCTTAAGAGCCTAATGTGAAAAATGAACGAGAATGAATGCACTATGAAAGAGGTGGGTACAAGTACTAACCCTAATTGGGTTGTACCCCATATAGGCTACCCCACTACAGCCTACACAAAAGCATAAGCTATAATGTTCTGACACACCCCCATAGGCAAAGTGGGGGAGTACAAGGGGTCACAAGACCAGTCAAGCAAAGCAAAGCAAAGCAAGCTCAGAGTGGATCAAAAAGTCACCACACATTCCGAGCACAAGGTCAAGGCCACAAGGCCAGTTCACATGCAGGAGTACATATATATATATATATATATATATATATAAGGCTAGACAAGCAAGAGCAGGTGTATATATATATGTAACAGTACAAGCAAGGTCAAGAGGTGAGCAAGTGAGGCAAGGCAGGCACAAGACCCAGCTGAGTACAGAAGCGCAGATGATCACAAGGCGCAAGCGCCTTGGTGAAGATATCAGCAGTGTTGGCCTCAGAGGCCACGTACGCAAGACGCAGCTGACCACGCTGCTGCAGCTCACGAGCAAGGAAGTAGCGGAGAGCAATGTGCTTCGTTCTGTGCTCCAGTCTGTGCTCTCGACACAAGGCCAGCATGGCCTTGTTGTCTACGTACAGCACTGGAGGAGAACAAGGCGGCTCTCCGAGGTCAGTCAGCAGGTAGGTGAGCCAGCGAAGCTCCTGTGCAGCCATGGCCCCGGCGTAGATCTCAGCCTCACAACTGGAGCCGAGAACAGAAGACGAGCGGGTAGCCCGCCACGAAACAGAGCCGGAACCAAGGCTGAAGGTGTAACCCTGTGACGACCGCTGCGTAGCCTGGTCGTCAGCCCAAGAAGCGTCTGCGTGCCCAGTGAGGACCACTGGACTCTGCCCTCCAAGCACAAGCCCCATGCCCGACGTACTGCACAAGTAGCGCAACACCCTCTTCGCTGCAGCCATGTGCTCCGGTCTGTGTCTCCCAGGAGCAACATAGCGTGCGAGAATGCTAAGAGGGTATGCAAGGTCAGGTCGAGTGCAGGTCATCAGGTACATGAGGCAGCCAACAAGCTCTGGGTACGGGCCACTCGACTCTACGGACTCATCCGAAGGCAGAGCTGAGAGCGAGTGGCGAGTAGGCAGAGGAGTGGCCTGAGGCGAGGAGTACGTGAAGCCGAAGCGCTGAAGGACCTGCTGCACCATGTGTGACTAAGTCAGGGTAATGGTGCGGCGTGCTCTGTCCCGGGTGATCTGCAAGCCAAGGTAGCTACGCACTTCACCCAGGTCTGTGCACGTGTGTCTCTTCTGCAGCGCGGACTTC